TCCCATTTGCGCATGCACATTTCGGAAAAGTTCAACCCATGCTGTTCCCATTGCATTTCAGCATTCTGTGATTTTTGATCACTTTGCGACGTAGAGGGTAATGATTCACTGGAATAAGCTAGGTCTGGATCGGTGAGCATGTCGAAGTGCTCGTCAGTGGTATGCAATATCTGTGGGGTTGGCATAGTTTGCATGGAAGTCTCCATGGAGAGGAGTTGCGGGTTTGTTGGAGTTTGAGATGAAGTCGCAGAAGGCTGAGGCTGCATTTCAGTAGAGTGGCTCTCAGAGCATTGTTCAGAAGTTGTCGGCTGAGACAGTGTAGACGGAGAAGAGGCGTCGAAATCTGGGGGGGAGAGTTTTGGATGCACAACAATCGAGCGAGGTCCAGACGTAGACGGCAAGGAAGCAGGTGGTTGAGGACTGGTCAAACGAAAGCTGGGATTCCTTTCAGCTAGACGTAGCTGCGAAGAATGTGTAGGTGTAGGTGGCAAGGCGGATGTACTACTTGGGCATTTCAAAGGCGATTGGGTGGACGTAGGTGACCTTGACGTAGCAGAATCGAGAGGGGTAGGTGGAAATGATGTTGACGGTTGGGAAGGAGCATTACTGAACTGAGGGCACACAGTTGGAGGTGGAAGTTGCTGAGATGGAGATCGCGAGTGAGCCAACGTTTGATGAGTGGTGTCATGAAATGAAGGCAGCGTTCCGGAAGCCTCGGATGACATGGATCTATTAAGGTTCTGTGACATTGCAGGAGAATTGGCAGTGGTATGTGTCGGAGAAGCTGAGGGTCGACGAGTGCAGTCATAAGAAGGCCGTGGCATTTCTCGTGGTTGGCTTTGAGAAGACTGGCTTGGTGTGGGTAGTAGAGATTTACTAGACCTCACATAGGTATCATTATCGTCCATGTAATGAGGAGCGGGGCCACGTACTGGACGCGCCGTTTCTCGAGTCCTCACCGCTGAATAACGTCGTGGTGTTGGCCGTGAGGTGGACATCGGTTGAATACGAGTCAGAGAATTTTGGTCACGGGTTTGGGTATAGAGGTTCTGTGACAAACGGCGAGGTGGGGTTTGCCTGTGGGAAAACGTTCGAGGAGCGTGGTCACGTACTGGACGCGCCGTTTCTCGAGTCCTCACCGCTGAATAACGTCGTGGTGTTGGCCGTGAGGTGGACATCGGTTGAATACGAGTCAGAGAATTTTGGTCACGGGTTTGGGTATAGGGGTTCTGTGACAAACGGCGAGAAGGAGTTTGCCTGTGTGAAAAGGTTCGAGGAT